AGGTCCCTGGGGCGAAGGGCAGCCCCACATCTGGGACCTGCTGATGGCTCTTGACCATCCCAGCCAGCTCGCTGGGCTGCAGAGAGGTGCTGGGACATGGGGAGCTGCCCTGGCTCAAGCCCAGGTTTGCTGTGGTCAGCGTGAGGGGCTGTGCCTATGAGCCTGCCCTGGCCAGGACCTGGGGATCCTGGGCATCCTGGGCTCGGCATGGGGGGAGGCCGGACGGTCACATTGAGCCTGTCCAGTCCATCCTGCTCCTCCCCGGGACCAGGGAGCGTTGCCTGGGCAGGGAAGCTCTGGGCTGGATCCGCTCCCCCCGCCCGTTGTGCTGCCTCGCACGATCGAAGGAGCCAAGTCCTAGTTTCTTCCCCGACTGCTCCCTGGGGAAGCCGAGAGCTGACGTGTGCCAGCGGGTTTCTAGCTTTCCTTCTGAAAGCTCCTTCTCCTGCCTGGCCTGGACAAAACCCCCTGTGCCACACAGGGAGACTTTTTAAGGTTATAAAGACCTCTCTGACGGCTGCACAGAGGAGGAGGTGTCTGTGTTGGAGGAGGTCTTGGTGGATGTGATTTCCTGGCTTGCAGTGTACTTGGAAGAACACTGAGGCATTTTTCTTGACTCTATTTTTGAATGAGCCAGAGGAGGAAGCTGCTGTGAGCGGGACGCTCTCCAGCCGGCTGCCATGGGCGGGGGCCAGGCCCACGCTCGCCCTGCTGCACGGTGCCCAGGCCCTGGTCAGGGCTCCCCATGCCTCTGCTCTGAGCCCTCCCGTGTGCCCAGGGCTCTCCTCCTTTCCTCCAGCTCTTTCTTCCTCTGCGTTTGCCAGCGCTGTCCCTGTTCCGGGTCCCTGCACGCTGGGGCTGCCCCGAGAAGGGCTCTGTGCTGCTTCCCATCCCTCACGGCTGCAGCTGGGACATGGTTCCTGAAAAGACCCCTCAGTTCTTTTCCTTGGGCAAGTGCCATGCCCCGTGCTGAGCCTGGGACGTTTGTAGCTCTGACTCGTCCTCCAGCTTCTCCTAAGATCTGACCCTTTTTGGAGATACTTACCTTCCAAAACTCTCCATGCAAAAGCTTCACCTTCTTTCTGGGTGCTGGCATGGCTGGCCCTTGTCTCCACTCTGGGCATGGCACAGATGGGTGGGTTGAAGCTGCTTCACCACCGCCTGTTCCAGCTGCAGCAGAGCAGCTGGTGTCATCAGCACCACGAAGTGCCACAGCCGAGGTCCTGGCAGGCTGGCGGGTGCCATGCCATGGTGCCAACGCCCAGTGAGGTGCCATGGTGCCAATACCCAGTGAGGTGCCATGGTGCCGATGCCTGCTGGCGTGGCAGGCACTGCTGCACGGATCCTGCTCTCCCAGCCCTGTGGCTGAGCCACTGCTTAATCCCACAGGCATTCCGGAGGCCTGAGCTGCTGGGGAAGGAGTTCACCCACCTCGAGTTCCCCCGCAGGATCCAGCCCAAGGAGCTGGGGAAGAAGATGCTCTACAGAGACCAAAGCATGAGTGGCTGGTAACCCCCCACCCCACCTGCGGGCTCCAGCTTCCCCTCCCCAGGACAGGGCTGTGCCACTCTGGGTACCCTGGTCCCAAAGGGGCCTTGTCCCCAGAGATGCTGTGTCCTGAGTGGGCAGGGGAGGTGCTGGAAGCCGCCTGCTCACACGTTGTCTCTGGCTTTTTTTAACCAGGGCTTACAAAAAGATAGAAGAGGATGACCTGAAGTTTCCACTTATCTATGGGGAAGGCAAAAAGGTGACGTGCTGTGGCAGGAGCTGTGTGGGGGTCACTTCCCACCTGCACTTGCTGAATTGTGGGTTTCCAGCCTGTTTTATTGCAACTCCAATGCCACCAGTTCTCATCTGGGAATGGAAGCGGACATGAAACAACTTAAAAGTTTTCATTTCACCCTTCTCCAGGCTCGGGTGATGGCCACGATTGGGGTCACACGGGGCCTGGGAGACCACGACCTCAAGGTGTTCAGCTCCAACATCCACATCAAGCCTTTCCTGTCCTGCTCCCCGGAGGTGAGCCTGGCTGCAGGCTGCTCTGTGCCTGGGGATTCCTGCAGCGGAGGTCCCCAGATCCATGGTACCCCCAGCGCAGCGGGACCCTCCTCTGCCCCTCACCCTCACGTCTTGCCCTGTCGTTGCCAGGTCAGGGTTTACGACCTCACGCAGTACGAGCACTGTCCCGACGACGTTCTGGTCTTGGGCACTGACGGGCTCTGGGATGTCACCAATGACCAGGAGGTGGCTGGCGTGGTGATGGAGGTGCTGACGAGCTATGAGCCCAACGACCCGTGCAGGTGAGCTGCCAGCGGGCAGGGGACAGCAGTGTCCTGTGCTCCAGCACCTCCCTTGGCCTTGCTCCTTGGGGTGGCGGCGTGGCCACAAGTCCCTCTGGCCTCAGGGCTGGTGCTGCTGCTCCTCAGGGTGCAGAGGGCCCCTGGAGGTGTGTGTCTGAGCTCAGATCTCTCTCCAGAGGACCCCTTCCTGCATCTCTGGCTCCTCCAGCTTCTCCTTCCTTGTCAGGGAGTGCAGAATGCTGCATCAGGGAGTCTGCAGGGTCTGGGGTCACTGCTGAGCGTCCATGTGCTGTGCCCCCAGGTACACCATGGTGGCCCAGGAGCTGGTGGTGCGGTCCAGGGGCGTGCTGAAGGAGCGGGGCTGGCGGCTGGCCAACGACAAGCTGGGCTCTGGCGATGACATCTCTGTCTTTGTGATCCCTCTGGGCGGCCCGGGCAACTACACGTGATGCCCGATGACCCCAGGGCAGCGAGGCTCGCCTTGCCCGGATGAAGGTGAGCAGAACACTGGTGCTGCCTGGGGCCACCTCTCCATTGAGCACTTGTCTCCTGAGCTGACCTCATGAAGAGCAAGAAATCTGGAGCCTCTGTGCCCCTGCCCAGAGCATCCCCCTCCATCTGCTGCATCCCAGCCCTAGGTGGAGGCAGAAAGGCTTTGGACAAAGAGTGGGAAATGGGGTTGAAGTTTTTTTTTTCCATGTTGCCACTTTCTTGATTGCTGTGAAAAACCTGAAGGCTCCCTGGCTTCTTGGTACGTCCTTTGGAGCTCGCCCTGGGCCAGGGCTGGTTCCAGAGGTGCGCAGCAGCCTTCGGGCTGGTGGGGCACTTGTATCTGGAGGAGCGTGTGCCTGCTGCTGCCGTCACCTCCTCCCCTCCTGCCCTGTGACGCTTGCACTGGTGACCCCGAAGCTGCTGTTGGGGCTGGGCACTGGTGCTAGGACTGGCCATGGCCTGGGGTGAAGCTGTGCCAGCAGCTGGGCAATGCTCAGCCCAGCAGAAGTCCTGTTGTGGGTGACATGGTGGTGGGCGAGCCCCATGACTGAGACCCCAGGTTTGTGCTCGGCCTCTCTGGCTGATCACTGAGAGCCCCTGGGAAGGAATGAGCTGTTGCACTTGCACTGGCAGTACCACGGGTTCTGCCCCCAGCCCTCCTCATGCCTTGGATCACTGCTGAGTTTCTGGAGCCAATTATTTATTATTAACTGGAGAGCTGAGCTGGAAAAAGTCCAAATCCTTCCTTGGTGCGGGGAGTCTGTATGAATACACGTCTATAGTTTTGAGCAGTACTAAGTTGGCCAGCACTGAGCAGCACTTGCACACAGAGCAGCCCTGTTTAGCCAAGCTTAACAGCTTAAATGTGCTGCGTGGATCTGCTTAGCCAAGGGCTGGGAACCCACAATAAAGCAGCTTGGTTGTGGCTGGGGCCGGGGGAAGACAGCTCCCTCCTTTTCCTTAGTAATCTCAAAGCTGATGCTGAGCAGAGCTGGAGCAGCAGTTGATCTCTGCACAGGGTCTTGCTCTCACACATACCTCTGTCCTGGACCTCTGCAGAGCACTGCGTCCTCCCAGCACACGAGGGACGGTCCCGTCCTCCCAGCAGGGTGCTGGGGAGCTGGGACACAGCCCCTCATTTTGGAAAGGCTCTGGTGGCACTGGTTGTTCATGTCCTGCTGCCACTGGGTGCAGGCAGCTCTTGTCACGTGTCACCTCTGGTGAATGTTGTTTGTCCCTTGTAATCAGCAAGATGTAGACAAACTAGGTGCACTTAATGAAGTAAAAGTTACCCAGTGAGCCTTTAGCCTATTGACATCTTCCGTGCTGAGGGGAGCAGGGAGCGACACCGGGGCCAGGAGCGGATCCTCGTGTAGCACTGTGTGTTTGAATAAAGGTTTTGCCACTCTCGGTCCCATTTCAAAGTCTTTCTTGAAGAGCTCCTGCAAAGACGACTTACCTGAAAACAAATTAGCTCTGATTAATTTATGTAGGCAGGCTTGGTAGCAAAAAGGTGCAGGCAGACACATGTGAACTGCTGTCCCTCTGCCCTCGGCGCTGGCCAGACCCCGTGGAATGTCCCTTCCCTGGCCCCTGGTGCTCCTGATGCTCAGAGCCGTTCTCCCCGTGCCCCCAGACTCGTTTCTCATCCCTGTTCCCCCGGCGTGGTGCTCTTTGTGCTGCTGGCTGAGAACCAGCTCTGCTTTTCCAGGTCACTGCCTGGGAGCTGCTGGGTAGGGCAAGGAGGCAGAGGCTGCATTTAAAGCTTCCTCTGTGGTTCCCTTTTTTACTAAGGAAACATTTCCTTTGGAACCAGCTCCTGGCCTGGGGCTTGATAAATTAAGAAAAATTGTCTCTGAGCCCTTAAAATAGCAGCAGTTTATGAGCCTGGGTCTGGGCCAGGACTCTGGGGCTGCCTTTCCCTGGCTGGGCAACAGGGACGTGGCCCTGCAGCTGGGGCGTTGCAGGGGGAGCAGCCACCCGCTCTCCCCTCGGGGACTGCCCAAGCCCCTG